GCCAAAAACTCATAAAAGGGGATAAAACAGACATTTTTCACGGTGGAATCTGACTGATAAAAACTTTTTTTTTGTTGTTGGACCAGAAACTGTTAAAGAAAACTACCAAAATAAGGTCAGTTAAATGAACCGTATTCCTCCGAACTTTAATTCCTAAAGGTTTGCTTTTTATGTTTTGATGTTGAATTCACTTTTTTGATGACAATTTGATGATTTCTATGATTTTGGCTTTGAAAGACACACGTTTTAGTGAGTTTAAGCGGTTGTGTCCGTACAGCAGCCTGGATGAAAGTAACATTTAAATACCTGATGTTTACAGGATTTCATGCTTTTCACCTCAGCTTTGTAGTCCTGGTTTACCACAGACTGACTGTAGCCCAGCTTCACATGATGCTCAGCTACAGACAGGGGCCGACTGGGGCAAAAAAGTGGCCCGGGAATTTAGTACCTGACTGGCCCATTCAAGGTCCGGGCTGGCAGATGGTGGAGGCAGAAACAACAAACATCATCTCAGGGCAAAATGTAAGGATGTAATGTTGAGGAATTAGTAAAGTTATTAAGTTAGCAGAGCAGCAGTTAGCTCGGTCAGTGCATCTTTTGGTCATTGGATTTTCATTTTCGAAACGGGTATTAAAAAACAAGAAATGAGTGGATATTTGATTTTTGTTTTAAAATACTGGAATTAAAATTAAAATAAAAAGCGTTTCTCATTCTTAGTGTCAAAAGGGGATAATCAAAATGTTAAAAATGATTTGAGTTTCATTTTCTGTTTCAGATAGAAAAAAAGAAAATTAGTTTAAGGCAGAAACAAAAAAAGGCTTGTTTATTTGTATCCTATGACTATCTCTTCCCCCACCAGAGGGGGCGCTCACCTGACAGCTCTGCATAATTAAACACTAATTTCTGTAAATAAAAGTCTGAAACACAGAGAGGTGTGTCCATAAATGAGTTGTATGATGATTGTTGCTCTGTGACCAAAGGCTTTGCAGAGGTAATTCATGTGACTTTTGACCAAATAAGTCTCTTTTACTGAACACATGTCAGCTACTGCCTCCATGTTTCATCTCCATTTTTCTCAATAAAAATCAAAACAAGATAAATTTCATTATATGAGTGTGTTGTACAGTTGTTGTTCTGTGAGCACAAAGGTTTGTTTTTCTCCTGAGTTTTGACAGAATCTGCTTTTTTTCTGTCAGTTCGGTGAGCAGTACTACGACTTGATATTGATCTGATACCAAATAAATACTTGAAGTCAGTATCAAAGTTTTTTACTTGTATGGGATGTTTGTTGAATAACTTTGGTATTGCAGACACCACTTCTGGTGGTGAAACAGTTTATTGTAGGGAGACAGTGAGTTGGTACGACCTGTCATGGATTATGAACAAACAAGACTTTTTTTCCTTTCTGCCTTAAACTAATTTTCTTTTATGCTATCTAAAACAGAAAATTAAACTCAAATCATTTTTTACATTTTGTTCATCCTTTTTGACACTAAGAATGAGACACTTTATATTTTGATTTTAATTCTAGTATTTTAAAACAAAAATCAAATATCCACTCTCTTGTTTTTTAATACCCGTTTCAAAAATGAAAATCCAATGACCAAAACATACACTGACCGAGGTCACAGGCACTGACCCTCAGAGTTTCAAATGGTCATTTTTGACTCATTTTCATTTTAACCCTCAAAAAATAACATTTTTATAACATAATGTGGTCTCATTTTCTTTTTCCAGCACATGAACTGTGTGAATTTAAACTTTTTTTCATTTGAATATACTGTTATTGTATATTAGACCTTAATTCAATAAATAAATAAATAAATAATACAAGTAAAATAAAATAAAAATCCAAGTGGGCAGTTATTTGTGAAACCYACAAACATTTATGATTTTTATCTTTTAGAATGCCARTGTATGATGTAAATTTCTAAAACTGATGTTAAAACATTTTAAGCAACAGTTTTATAAAATGATCAGTTACTGAGCACAGTTTGGACCTGGTCCACACATCATAATGGCTTTATTTATTTAACAGCTAAATGTTTTAAAAGTTATCAAACTAGAAACAAAAACAGCCACCTACATGAATACCATCCTCCTCCCGGTGACGTTCTCCAGACGTAGGTTCCAGTGAGGAAGAGGATGATGACGATGATGATGCACCAGCAGAAAATAAATGTCAGTTTCTGACACTTGGCTGAATTTGCTTGTAGATGCTTTTCTCAATTTTTGTTCTCCTCCCGTCCGGTTCTTCTGCTTTTTCCTCTTCATCAAACTTTTCTTCTTCTTTGGTCTTTGTGCTTGGTAAATAATGCATTGGCGCATTATCGCCATCTACTGGTATTGAGCGCAACTACACATTTTTTTCCCCTTGGTGCGTGCACTGGCCCAGTGATGCGCCGGCCCACCAAGAAAAGTCCCGGTACTCCCAATGGCCAGTCCGCCCCTGGCTACAGATGGAGCTCTGATATCTGGATTTTTATCAGCATTAAATTCACACAGATCTGTTTTAGGACTCAAAGTTTTGTGGTGTCAAAAAGGACACATCTGGTTTGCTAAAGGGACTAACCTGCCAGAACAAACAGCTGGAAATCTGGAAAAGCAGTAAAAAAGAAGAAAGTAAAGGTTTGAGGCGAAGGGTTTCAAAATAAATGAGGTTTTATTGAATGAATTCTCAGTAGATGTTCAACAATAACTTTTGAAGTCAGCTTATCCAACACAAACATGGCTGTCAGATATTTCCTGAGCTGCAGTTTGATATTTATACTCTAACGTGTATTCTGTCATGAAAACAGGCCATGGAGAAYGCCCACGTGGACGCGGTGATGATCCTGGGAGAGGCCTTTTCCTCGGAGCAGCCCTTCGACTTCGGGGACCAGAACACCACCGAGCGCATCCACCGCCTCATCCCGGTGATGCTGAGGGAGCGCCTCACGCCGCCTCCAGAGGAAACCTACTCCCTCCACAGGAAGATGGGTGGCTCCTTCCTCATCTGCTCCAAGCTCAAAGCTAAGATCCCCTGTAAGAGCATGTTCCAGGAGACGTACAGAAACTACTGGAAAGACGGAGACTCTGAGTCCCAGCAGTGAAGACTGACTCAGAACAGYATCTTAGGACAAGGACTACCTTCAGTTAGGGTTTTTTTTTTCTTAACCATGAAAATACTTTGTGGTAACTTAATCCAGAGTACTAAACTCTGCTATGATRCAGAGTTAAAATGAAACATGCCAGGAAAGAAAAAAACATATAGCAATTAAGAACTATTTTATAATGAAGTGTCTTATCAGTGGCTTGTTTTGACAAAGACTTTTCTTCCAGACTAGCCTTACTAGCTGCGTTTCCATTGAAAATGGGCTCAAAACTTTGTCGATATTCTGTTAAAGTCAAAAAACACAGTTTCGCAACTGCAGTGTTTCCATTAAGTAATAAATGTTATTAAAGTCACATG